ATATTTACTCATTCGAAAGATGCTTAAAAATGAAAAAAAAAACGCTAGAGAAAAAAGCTTAGATTTAAAAGGAAATGTGATTCATTAATGAAAAGTCATAATTTTTACAAAGTCATGGAAATCTTAGAAAGGAAATAAAATCAAGAAACAAATTGCAAATGCTTCCAGCCAATACTAGTAGGAAGGTTTCTGTACTAATCAACTCTAGAACGCTGAGGTGAGCCTGTGTTTAGAATACTTCAACGTTGTCAAAATGCTTGCAAATGTGAAAGTTCTCCCAAAATATCAAACTCTCAAGAGCGCATAAATTTTTGGATGCCTAATATGAACATGCATTTGAGCCGCCCTTTCGGGTTTTCAACTCAAATCCTTCATTTGGTTTCAAGACGCCCTTTGTGGATTTTCATCTTGAACCCTCTTTTTATTTTCTTTTTTATTTTCATTCTTTTTCTTTTTCTTTCTTCTTTCTTCTTTCTTCTTCTTTCTTTTTTATTTTTTTTCTTCAAGCATAATATTTCTTGACAGAATCTGAGTTTATTGAATTTCTCAGCACTTCACCATTCATTTTTTTCAGAATTAATGCTTCTCCGGAAAAAGCCTTCTTGATGACATGTGACCCTTCCCAATTAGGCATCTACTTCCCAAGGAAGTCTTTATGAATTGGAAATATCTTTTTAAGCACTAAATCACCCTTTCGAAATTCCCTTGGATGAACTTTCTTGTTATAAGCTCGCATTATACGCTTTTGGTACATCTGACCATGACAGATAGCTCTCAATCTCTTCTCTTCAATAAGGATCAACTAATCATATCGAGCCTGAGTCCACTCATCTTCATCTAACTCTCCACTTCTTTCAAGATCCGAAGTGACAGAATCTCAACTTCAATAGGCAATACTGCTTCTATTCCATAAGTGTTGCCCCAGTCGAAGTTTGCACTGTAGTATGATATGCGAACAAAGCGAAGGGTAACTTCTCATGCCAATCTTTATAAGTATCAGTAGTTTTTGAGATGATCTTATTTATATTCTTGTTTGTTGGCTCTAATGACCCATTCATCATCAGACGATAGGTAACTTAATTATGGTGCTTTATTTTGAACCGCGCACACAACTCTGTCATCATCTCATTATTCAGGTTAGTGGCATTGTTTTTAATGATTCTCTCTGGCAACCCATATCTGCAAATTATCTATTTCTTGATAAACTTGCACACTGTTGATCTCATGATACTGGCATAAGAATCAACCTTTACCCACTTAGTTAAATAATCGATAGCCACCAGAATGAAGCGATGACTATTCAAAGCCTTTGGAGAAATTTCCCCAATGACATCCATGCCCCACATCGAATATGGCCATGTGCAGTCATTACATTTAACGGAAAAGGAGTTGCATGAATCTTATCAGTGTAGATCTGACACTTATAACATTTTTAGCATATTCCATGCAATCTATCTCTATTGTGGATCAATAATATACATATCTCATTATTTTTCTGGCCATAGAAAGACTATTTGCATGTATTCCACATATTCCACTATACAATTCTTCAATGATAGTTTTCGCTTCTCTAGCATCAACAATCTCAGTAAAATTTGATCTTTTCCTCTTCTGTACATAATTTCCCCATCAAGAATATATAATGCAACCATCCTTCTGATCGTTCTTTTTTCTACCTCAGAAGCTTGCTGCGGATAAATTTGATATTTAATATATTGCAAAATGTCATAGTACCATGGACGACCATCTGCCTCCTCTTTCAGACTGTGGCAATGTGTCAAGATCTTATATATATGCATCAAGATTGGTATCATATTCATCATTTTACTTACCTAAAACATTATAGCCAAGGTGGCTAAAGCATCTTCCATCTGATTCTGTTCTCTAGGGAGATAAGTGAATGTGACCTTTTCAAATTCTTTGATCAATTCAAGGATCAAGTTCTGATATTCAACTAATTTTGGATCCTTTGTCTCCCAGTCACCTCACAATTGATAAACCACCAGGTAGGAATCACGATATACTTTGAGCACTTTTATTCCCCTTTCCAAGGCTACTCTTAAACCCATAATACAAGCTTTATATTCTGCCATATTGTTTGTGCAAAAGAATTCTAGTCAACTGGTGAATGGATAATATACATTTTCTAGAGAAATTAGCACTACTCAAATTCCTCACCCTAGGGCATTAGATGCTCTATCAAAATAGAGCTTCAAAGATTCGTCCTCTTCATTATTTTCTTTAACTGTAATGAACATCAAATCCTCATCCGAAAAATTAAAATTTAGGGGCTCATAATCGTCGGAGGCACGACTTGCGAGGAATCCGTTATGATACTTTCTTTTATTACCTTTTGGCTTACATACACAATGTCAAACTCTGACAATAACATTTTCCACCAACCCATTCTCCCAGTCAAGGATGGAGATTCTATCAGGAACTTCAATGGATCAAGTTTGGAAATCAACCATGTAGTGTAATACAACATATACTGTCGGAGTCTTCGGGTTGCCCAAACCAAAGCACAACATAGCTTTTGAATTGGAGGATATCGTAACTCACAATCGGTGAACTTCTTACTCAAGTAATAGATTTCTCTTTCCTTCTTCCCAGAATCATCATGTTGCCCCAGCACACAACCCATTGAATTCTCAAACACAGTTAAGTAAAGTATTAATTATCTTCCAGGAACGGGCGCTACCAAGATAGGAGCATTAAACAGATATTTCTTGAAGAACTCTTAAGCCTATTGACATTCTTCATTCCAATACACAGGGTTATTCTTCCAGAGTAGTTTAAGTATTGGATCACACTTATCAGTCAACTGAAAAATAAATCTAGAAATGTAATTCAACCTTCCCAAGAACCCTCAAACTTCCTTTTGCGTACGAGGAGGTGAAAGATTTTGAATTACTTTTACTTTTTCAGGATCAATTTCAATTCATCTTCGACTGACCAAAAAGCCTAGGAGCTTCCCTGAAGTTACTCCGAAAATACACTTTGTAGGATTGAGCTTCAACTGATACTTCTTCAATCTCTGGAATAACTTTCTCAAGTTTATAATATGCTCTTCCTCAGTCTGGGATTTAGTAATCATATCATCCACATACACTTCAATCTCTTTGTTCATCATGTTATGAAAAAAAGTCACCATAGATCTTTGATATGTTGCTCCTGTATTTTTCAACCCGAATGACATCACCCTATAGTAAATTGTGCCCCACATGGTCACAAATGTTGTTTTCTCCATGTCTTATGGATCCATATTTATCTGGTTGTACCTTGAGAAACCATCCATGAAAAAGAACCATGAATGTCCTACAGTGTTATCCACTAGCATATCGACATGAGGTAGAGGAAAATTATTCTTTGGGCTCGCTTTATTCAGGTCTCTAGAGTCCACACACATATGTAGTTTTCCATATTTATTCGATACAGGGACTATATTAGCTACACACTCGGGATATTTGGCCACTTGAAGAAAACCTGCATTGTTATGTTTTCTTACTTCTTCCTTAATTTTCAACAGCATTTCTGGCCTCATTCTCCTGAGCTTTTGTCGCACTGGCTTGCACTCAGGCCTTATCGAAAGTTTGTGCACCACTATATTTTTAATTAATCCTGGTATATCTTGATAAGACCAGACAAAGATATCCTTGAATTCTTGCAACAAATTTATCAAACTCTGTCTTACCTCGAGTGATAAGGTCGTGCCAATCTTTACTTCTCTTTTCATTTCATTAGATCCCAAATTTACAATCTCTATTTCTTCTTTATGAGGTAAAATTTGCTCAGCTTCTTTTTCTACCAGTCTTAATAATTCATTAGGAACTTCACATTCTACTTCATTTTGACACTCATTAACGTCTTCTAAACATAAAAGCTGCTCAAGATCAATCTTATGATTAGTTACAGAAACATTCATGATATTAATATTTGGACACCTACGAAAGAAAAAAATGGATCGAATATATACTTTAGAGAGAAGAAAGGGAATCAAATGAAAGAAATGTGAAAAATGAAGAAATGTAAAATGAAAAAAAAACAATTGCCATTTGAGAAGTGAGTGAAAACATCTTTTTATTAGAACCAAATGAGTGATATCAACATGACTGCCTATTACAAAAGATCCCTTGATGCTCACGGGCACAAGCACAAGGGTTGGTTTATAGTATTACTCTGGGTTAAGCCTAGAAACTACATGAAGCTCCTCCGTAGTCTAATTGTTCAGCTTTTCTCTTGGGAAACAAGGGTGACTACCAGTTAGATATTTCTCTGGCTTACTATATTACCCAATCATATTGATGCTTAGGCCTTCCATGGCGTCATCAAGCATTTCTTCATCTTCCAACAGCTCCGCCTCTTTGATTACACTGATTAGCTGTTGTTCAGTGTCATATATTCATCCATATCTGAAAATGTACTTCATATATGTGATAGGTATAGGTTTCCAAGAGACATCATCTCCTCTCAATCGAGCCTTTCTCACCTCTACTATTCGTTTTGCTTCTTTTTGGAACTGTTGGCTGTTGGGCTGGAATCCCAACCCGAAACGATCTCTTTTCATAACTACAGGTTTCAGACGCATGATCCCCTGCAAGTGTTTTCCAAAGCCTCTTCCAATCTTTGCTCCTCTTCCTAAAGTTTCTCGCACAACCATTTTTGTACAGTTGGACAGGTGAAGGTGAGGAAATTTACTCCTCTCGGAGATGAAAGTGGCATTCACAAATTCTAGGGCACGAAAAGAACATTTCAAAGCATTTTCGTCTGGCTCAATGTACAGAGCACTAGTAGTTACTGAAGCAATTATCTCTTGCTCAGCCCCGAAACTAATCAATACTTCATCACAAAAAACTTCAATTTTTGGTGTAGGGGTGAAGGCACCGCTCCGCAGAGTGAATCCATGGTCTCCCCAGTAAACAATTGTAAGTGGGATTGATATTCATTACCACAAACTCGACATTGTACACAACTGGACCTATTAACAACGGGACATCGATCTAGCCAATAACATCCCTCTGAGTGCCATCGAAAGGTCGGACAATATTCTGATACACTTTCATGTGGGATCCATCTATTGGAAACCTTTGGAGAGTAGCCATTGGCATCACGTTGAGCGTAGACCCATTATCAATCAAACATCCAGGTAACACATGGCCATTACAATGTGTGGTAATGTTTAGAGCCTTTATAGATCCACTGCCTCCTTTTGAGATTATGTCATCGGTGAACGTGATATAATTATTCGAAGTGATATGGTTCACTATTCGATCCAGTTTGTTAAAGGGTATATCCTCCGGTATAAAGGTTTGATTAAGCACTTTTAATAAAGTGTTACGGTGTATCTCTGAATTTATCAGCAAATCTAATACTGAAATTCGTGCCTTTTGTTTGTGCAATTGCTCCACTACACTGTATTTGCTATGTCTCCAATATTTTAAGAACTCCAGGGCCTGCGCTTCAGCAACTGGCTTATTAACCTTCGGAGGCTCATCCTCAATTATCTTCAGAGGCGATAGACCTTTTTCCTTGCTTTTTATCTTTTCGACCACTTTTGAAGTCTCAAGCGGAGAATAACATCTACCACTCCTTGTGAAGTTCCCCACTTAACTAATCACCTCGACAGGGGCCTTCATTTTCTCTTCAGCGCTTGCTTTTACTTCTTGTATGACCTTTGGTCCTTCCACATTCTTCACCTCCCCTGATACGGAGATATTGGTGGTGTAGTTCCATAGCACCCTGCGTGAATCTTTGAAGGGGAATGGAGACGGAGTGGAAATCACTAATTTTGGAGCAACAAGGATAATATTTGCCACGTTGGGCTTCACAGTAATAACAATCGGCTTTCTGACCCCGTATGCAGATTTGGTGTACTCAGACGTGCACACCTCTTCATCTTTTATTTTTCCAACATTTTCAAAGAATTCAATCTTTTTATTATCCATCATTGATTGAATTAAAGCCTTAAACTCGTGACAGTGTTGAATCTCATGCTCTCCCTCTTTGCAAAACTTAAAAAATAATACACCTTCTCCCTGAGTAGAAACCAGACTCTGCTTGATCAAGACATCACCTGTGAGTTGCTCAAATACCCATTCGAGTGGGGACTTGACCTCAGAGACATGCCTCTTCATTCTTCTCCCACTCTCTTCTTTATTAACATTTACTCCTTGCCCACCATGATTGGGCAATGGGTTCTTCGCAACATCAGCAGAATTGGACTTCAACATCCCAGTGTCAATCAAGTTCTGCACCAACTTTTTGAAAGACACACAATTTTCAATTGAGTGCCCCACAATATCTGTGTGATATTCACATCGTGCATTCACGTCATACCACTTCAGATAAAGAGGTTAGAGTGGTTTAAGATGGTATGGATGAACCATGTTCGATTTGAACAATGATGTATATAACTTAGCGTAAGTAACTAGAATTGGTGTAAACGTTAATTTCTTTGCTTCTCTTTTTTATCCTTGAAACTTGCCTCTATTGGTGTTAGCCTCAGGTATTTACTTCATTATCTCTCTTCTTAAATACTCGCTTCTCTCCACCCTCGATTTTTCCACTCTTGATAGCTTTCTATATCAGCTCACCCTATATTACCATATCTGAGAAACTCCTCAAAGCACTTCCCAATATACGATCCAAAAAAGGACCCTTCATTGTATTAAGGAAAAGAACTGTGGTTTCCTTCTCCAAAAGTGGCGGCTGAACCTGCACAACCAAATATCTCTATCTTTGGGTGTATTGGAGGAAACTTTCATTGGGCTTCTCTCCATATTCATCAGGGCCACTCGGTCGGGTATCATGTTAGTGACTTATCTATACTACTCTAGAAATGACCTAGACAAGTCTTCCCATGATCTGACATTTGTACGAATCAACTGGGCGTACATCCGTGCTGCAGAGTTGGTGAGTCTGTCTTGGAAACAATGAGTGAGCAACTTCTCGTCGTATAGAAAACCAACCATCTTTCTATAGTACGTGAGCAGATGGACAACTGGTGTCATTATACTTCTCAAATTCAGGAGTTTTGAATTTATGCAGGAGAACCAAATCAGTTATCAGGCTGAGCTCTCGGGCATCCATACCATATTCACCGATTGACTCCATTGCCCGGACCTTATCCTCTAGTTTCTTGTAACTATCTTCGTATTATTTGGCTAACTCAGACTTAACCTTTTCAGCTTTTGTAAGCAAATTGAAATTAGGGATTTCATTATCGAGGTACTTAACATTGTCATTGAGGTGCATAGGGTGTGTTATAGATGCTCCAGTTGCGTTAATTTGGATTCCTCCTCTAGGTAACACATTTTCAGGCTGATCCCTCATATGAGTTGATGAACCATGATCAACCGTGTTAGAATCTTTTACATGACCCTTTTTCTTAGGGTCAACTCCAAGTAAAGCGGCGATCTGATCTACCACATCTTTCTGAGACTGGGTCACTTAGTCCCTTAGGTCATTTTGGATGTTCTCCAGTCTCGTTTCAAGGCGTTTCTAAGCCTCTTCAAGTTCTCTGAATTTATCTTCCATGTTCTCTTTGGCTTTTCCCCAAGTATTATACAAGTGAGAAGTACTTTTACTAGGAGCCAGAATATCTTCGAATGAAAATCTATATTATTAAAAAAGTATAATGAATGAACGCATAAATGCAAATGAAATTAGTAATGAAACAATAAAAATGCAAAATACATGAATGCAAGAGGTATCGATCTCGAAAGGTCAACTATCAAGAACTACTTTTGAAAAGAAAAACAAAGTCTCATACACAATGGTTTTCCATTACAAGTACGATATAACCCTCCTACTCAAGTCTACAATCTCGACAATCAATGACAAACTCTCCGGGTGGTCTCTGTAATCGGGTCGACGTAATGCTCTACTATCCTAGCTCGGTCGACCAACTTTCCCAGATATCGAGTGACCTCGCCTATCTGAATTAGTGCCTCAGTGATGATACGCTCCTTGGAAACATTTTTGTCCTCGTAAAGTCAGAAACCTGCTCTTGAAAATGTTGTAATTATTCCATAAGGCTCTTAACTTAACAACACAAATCAATTCTCTACTGAAGATTCTCACTAAAATGCCTCTGCTCTCAGAACAAAACTTACTCAAGCTGAGTGATGTACCTCATGAGCTCAGTGTTTTTACCTCAACACTAAGTTAGCTACTCGTCACTCCTCTGTCGAGTCTCCTGTATCCTCAGATTCAAAGCTGCAATTCGGTCAGCCTTGTATTGGTTCCTCATGATCCAAGTGTGAGTAATCTCTCGCTGTATTCCAAGCTCAGTCTCCTTACGCTTCCTCTCGAGGTCTAGTCTCACATTATCGACCTCCAAGTGTTCGATCATCAGCAAAACGTCGTTTAACCATAAATCTGCATCCATTGGACCTTCATCCTCTTTTCCTGGAACTCAGGAGCTCCCAAGCTTATCAACTCTTTTGAGATTAACATTCGCGGTGCTGGAGGAGTAGAGGAGGCGGAGAAGATTGAAATCGAGTCAGGATGGCATCAGGAGCCTATATAAAAGCTCCATACTCTGATAATGACATGCCCTGATGTGCAGGTGCACTAGCATTTTCAGACGAAATCGGATTGTAATACCCTAAATATCAGGACAGGACTTTATTAAAAAGATTTAAGAATTTGAGGATTTATTTGAAATAAGACAAAAGAATGAGAAAATGATTTGGAATAGTGTTTTAGACTAAATTGTAACAATAGATGAATAAAGAGGGCATTTTGGTCCTTTAAAGGGGAAATAAATATAAAATTCAATTTTAATAAGGTATTAATGTGAAGGAAAAGGGGAAAGTAAGTTAACCAAAAGTTATCTATTTTCTTCTTCTTTCCCGTGGAAGAGCTCTCCTCCACAACCAAAGGTAAGGTTTCATTTGGCTAGTTTTTCCTTTCATTTTTGGTTGGTTTTTGAATCATGGAGTAATATAGAGGCTTAAGGAAGGGTTAAACAAGATTAAAACTAAGAGATGGATGAAATATTTTAGATTTAGGAAAATGGGTTTTTGAATGATTTGTTTAGATATGAGTTTTTATTGATGCTTACGAGTATATTTGACTTGTCAATAAAGTAAATAAGAGATTAGAAGCATTAGATGTGTTTAAAAACATGTTAGAAAAACTGGTATGATTCTTGGATTGAAGTGTTCCTTAGAGATTATAGATGTTATAAGTAGCTAAATGAAGGAAAGTTAGTTGAGATAAGTAAAGAAGAGTTCGATAGTATTGTTGGATGTAAAAATAAGGGAAATTGGCCAAATGTGGGTAAATATAGGGCTGAAAATGGAAAATCTGGGTAAGGGTATTGGTACTGGAAGAACAGTACCGATAGTATAGGCTTAAATTGGAAGAAATCAGCTGAACAATATCAATATTGATACAATTAGTATCGATACTTAGGTGGGTATCGATACCATGAGGAAGGTGTCGATGCCATTGATTTACATAATGCATAAATGGTATCGATACCGTAATAGAGTATCGATATTGAAGGAGAGTATCGGTACCACATTATAGAAGTATCGATACTATGGTAGGGGTATCGATACTATTGAGTAAGAAATTTTAAGATGGGCTGAGATTATTATAGAAAAGTTAATAATAGTACTTGTGAGTATTGTTTAAGTATAAATGTTAAGGATTTTACTAACATTTGATATTGTACATATCTTTGATGGATGCTTGAGTAGATCTAAATCAAATTCCCGAGTCAAGCAAAACGAAAGGCAAAGGCAAAGTAGCTGAGTAATTAGATTTGCATTTTGGATATAATAGCGAGGCAAGCCAAGTGAGTGCATTTATTGTGTACGTATATGTGATGATAGTAATAGATGCATGTTGTTTAATATATGTATGGTGATTATCGAATGGCACTATACGTGCAAAACTAAGAAATTCATAATAAGTTTATGAATTTTCGTATTGATAGTGGGTGTTCAACTCACGTAAATTATAGTAAGCTGGGAAATTACTGTATTGGCACTACAGGTGTAAACTATAGAGTGTATAATGAAATGAAATAGTTAATGGATATTAGAATTTTCATGATATACTTGTGGTTAGAATTTTGCTTATGATTATATATGCCTCGCTAAGAAATTTCTTAGCGTGTGTTAATTCATGCCTAGGTGTTAATACAAGCGGAGTAGGGATATCATCTAACTTCACAAAGCAAGGGTCACCTCATCAGTAACTGTACGACATCTATGTCTACTTTTGATGTATTTAGTTGTAATGTAATAGATTTAGAAAAAATGCTCTAAAAAGTGTTTGATTAACTATGATGTAAAAAGATGAATGTTTGAATATTACTTTTTGTTTTAACTACGTAAGTTGAATGAATGCTTTATTGTCACTAAATTAAAATGTTTTATGAAAAGAAACGAATTTTTACAGATATTCAAACAAGGAAACATTTTTTTAAAATGATGTGACATCTATATCTCGTGTACGGAAAAGTATACGGGAGATGGGTGTTATACGGATGGTCACAATTAGCTTCATAGCTCTTGCTACCCGACCCTTCTCTATTTTCTTGATCATTCGCTCTCCGCGAATTCATAGAATCGGACATCTAATAGAACATACATAATGATAACACTTAAGTTAGCAAGGAGTGACATTAATCATACTCTAACTACACCATATCAGTAACATTGACATCTTAGTGGCATGTAAAACCCTTTTTACATTAAAATACACTCGATTTCAGCTGAGAATCGGCTAAATATGTAGATCTGATACCAATAAATGTAACACCCATTTCCCGTATACGTTTTCGTACACAAGTCAGAGATGCCATATAAATTTTAAAATTTTCCGCTTTTGAAAAACCAGTAAAATTCTGCTTTTAATCGTAAAACTTTCTAATTTGATAATAATAAAACATTCATTAACTTTTAGTATGTAAACAAATCTTAAAGTTCAAACATATTATATTTTTTACATCATCATAAGTCAAATACTTTTTAGAGCATTATCATAAGTCTATTACATGCTAGCTAATAACATCAAAAGTAGACATAGTTGTCATATAATTACCAATGAGTCGACCCTTGATTTGCAGTGTCAGATGCACTTCTTACTCCGCTCGTACTAATACCTACGCAAGAAATCAACACATGCTAAGTAATCACTTAGTGAGACGTAATAACAATGAGATAAAATTTCTTTTAAAACATAAGTATATCATAACTATCAAAATATAAATTTGATATTTCAACTCATTATAAATTCTGTGGTTTTGCACACTTAGTGCCGATACGGTATTTCGCAAAAATCATTATTAACGTGGGTTGCACACATAGTGCCAATACAGAAATTCGTAAACTCATTATGAATTTATTAGGTTGCACACATAATGCCAATACAAAAATTCATATACTTATTATTAATTTCTTAGGTTGCACTCATAGTGCCAATACTGAAATTCATAAACTTATTATGAATTTCTTAGGTTTCACATATGGTGCCAATACGGAAATTCATAAACTTATTATGAATTTATTAGGTTTCACACATAGTGTAAATACGAAAATTCTTAAAGTTATTATGAGTTTCTTAGGTTGCACACATAGTGCCAACACGGAAATTCATAAACTTATTATGAATTTCTTAGGTTGCACACATAGTGCCAATACGGAAATTCATAAACTTATTATGAATTTCTTAGGTTGCACACATAGTGCCAATACGGAAAATGCAATACATACATTAAGAAAAATGCATCTATGACTATCCATAACTTATAAGCACATAATAAATGCACTCACCTGGTAGGCCTCACTAGTATGCCTTACTGATGTCCGATTATTCGACAATTTTATCCTTTCCCTTCTGCTTGCTTGATTCAAGAGCTTGATTACGATCTACACAAGCATCCATAATCACACATTCAATACAAATGTTAGTATATTTTCTAACATTTATAAAAAATAATAATACTCAAAAGTACTATTATTCTCGAATTCTATTAAAGTTCATTATAACTTAAAATTCTAGGCTAAATAGTATCGGTACCCCTCATACGGTATCGATACTTCTATACTATGGTACCGATACTCCCTTCAATACCGAAACCATTTTTACATTCT